GAGCTGTCATGTGAAAATCTTTGAAATTGTATAATATTTTAAATACACAATAAAGATAAGCCGTGTCAGCCTGACGGCGGATTAAAAAAAAAAAAAAAAAAAAAACAATTTTTAAAAATATTATTAATAAAGTGTAAAGACTTTATAAGAAGTTTTTTATATGTAATTAAAAAAAAGTTTTTTTTTTAAATACTTATACTATAATATATTTTATTTGTTTATTTTATATTTTAAACTCCAATTAAAATTTAAATCAAATTGAAATAATATTCTTTAATATTTTTTGAATTGTATACTTTTCATTATAAAGATTAAAAGCTATGCGAGCCGAATCCCACTATCGCATGCAAAATAACAAAACGTGGAATTACGTAATTCCACCCATTAACAGTAGATTTTTATTACTATACTCGGGCTCTTTGTTAGTCCCCAGTGCTCAAACACGAAAAAAGAACTTTTCAGAAATGGTTGCAGGCATTGAGCACTGTGTTTACTGTTTTGACGTACTTGTTGCCAATTTTGAAGGAAGGAAACACATAGAACCGGAATTTGAAGATGACAAATAGTATGTTTCCTTTCATTTTCATTATCGATTCGTCTAATGTAGTTTTTTCAGTCTTATAAATTTTGAAAAGCCCACTATTTGTGACTTGGAATATTGTACAAAACGGTCAAACTCGTCTCCGTGGATGCATAGGGAATTTCGATGCCCTTCCTCTACACTCTGGTCTCAAGGAATACGCCATTACTAGGTAATCCATTGCAAATACGATAAGGATTAGTTGTGTTCAACACATTGTGAATGCCTTAGATAGCGGATCAAATGTCTTGCTGAAAGGCAGACTTGGTATTTAATTGAAATTTGATTTTCAAGATCGTTATACTTTTAATCGTTAATTTGTTGTTGGAACTCTTTTATGTGTATAAATCTCTCTAGCGCCATTCATGACAGAAGGTTCTCGCCAATCACTATCCGAGAATTACCCTATCTTTCCTGCGGGTTAGCAGAAGTTTTAGTTTTTTTTTTTTTTCATATATAATAGACCCTTCATAATTAATCGACTATAAATTATTTATAGAGTTTCCCTTTTAACAAACTTTGAGGAAGCTGAAGACCACCTTGATTGGGAGGTAATATGTTTGATGCAAAAACATACCTATTCATAGTCCCATATTAAGGCAGACTTTTTCCTTCAGGTCGGTGTTCATGGTATTTGGATTGAATTTGTCGATGATCATAATCGTCGTAGAACTGCTACATACTTGCCAGAGGTTGCGGAGGAACAAGGTAAGCCTCTAATACAATTGAATTCTTTGTTTTACGTATGCATTTATAACTTTTAATAAAATTACTAGGTTGGACCAAGGAAGAAGCCATTGATTCTCTTCTCCGTAAAAGCGGGCATAGCGGCAGAATAACCGATAAAATTCGTAATCGTATCGTTCTCACACGTTATCAAAGCGCCAAGTATAGTATAACTTATGAAGAGTATCTTCAGTACAACAACAATTCTAACAGCGAAATCAATAAAGTCGAATTACCCAAGCATAAATTGATTATTGATGGTTTCGACGCCGAGGAATTAAACTAGAGTAAATGAAAGTTTTACGACGCATGCTATATTTTTAATTATAAAAAAAGGAATGTCAACATATAGGTATTGAAAAATAAATTATATTTTTCCTCACTTTTCTAAATGGTCTAATATAATTCCTTCTTTCTTTGTAGCCTTGATTTCTTTATAAATGTCATTTTATATTGCTTCTAATTTTGTTACTGAATGACGATCCCAACCATCCACTATATAAGGTTCTTCGAAGGGTGACCATAATATAGCAAACATCCTGTATATTCATCGAACCATTTTCTTCAATAAAAATGAATGGGATTAGAGAATGTTGTTACATAATTCTCCCATTATGTATGTCTGTTAATTTGTATAACATTTGAAAGTATGCACAAAAGATTATGCTTATTTACTCGGTGGAAGATATATTCTTTACGTGCGTATATCACGAAAAAAGATATCTATATGCTATGGCTATGTTCCGCACTTATTGTTGCTATTTTATAACAGAATATACAAATTTTCGTGAATAAAAACAGCTATTATTTAGATGTAATACATTATAAGAAATATGATTTTATGAACACTACCATTATACAGTAGACTCTTCAGATTCTGACTGACATTTCGTACATTCACATCTAAGTCTCCATTTTGCTTCCAATTCATCTCTCCTACTCTTAACATCCTTATTCTCGGTCCTGATATAACTAATTGTTAATTCATCTCCTGCTTTGATGTGTTTTGTGGCCACAATAGATAACTCGGAATTTTTGTTTAGAAATTTTGTTTCAGTATTAGGGTCGCAAGAGTTATTTATATATGAAGCGATACGGTAGAAACCTGCTCCAATCACTGGTGGTTTACTGGAACGAATGGTTTCTTCGGTATTCTACAAGAAAAGATAAGTTAAAACTTTAAAAATAAAATAAAATAAAATAAATAAATAAATAAAATGGCTAATTACCTCTCTTATATTCTTTTCATTATCGCGAGATGTACTTATGCCATATGCATTATACATAAGTTTTCCTTTCAGCATTAAATACCTTTCTTCAGAAATAAATTCTTCCATACCAGGAACCTTCGCTGCAAACAAATCCCTCAAGAGTTTAATCTCTCTGGCCTCTTTATCTGTAGATGGCACGGTCAAGAAACGTAACCGTTCAACATGATCCCAAGTAGTATATTCTTCTTCAACTCCTGTGGCAACCTTTTGTGTTTCCTCATGAACCATCTTTGCTAAAAATCTTGCGATCATCAAAGGGAATTTGACATTTCCTGATTTAACCAACTCGACTAGCCGAGCTTCTTTACTCTCGGGATCGGGTGAATCACTACTGGTAAAAAGAAGTGCAGCATACTCATTCGTCGCCTTTTCTCGACAATTCTTGGAACAATAAACGGCTTCAAAAAGATCGGTCTCTTCACGGAATGACTCCTTAGTGAGTTCCTTAAGACAGTAACTGCAATAATCACCAGTCTACAAAAAAAAAAAAAAAAAAAAAAAAAAAGGTTTGATAGAAAATTATTCGAATCGTTTCTTCAAATGTTAAATGAAATTACGTTACTCTGAAATCCCACCTCAAGACTTGGATCAAGAGCTGATGCAATTGGTTGTTCTTTAAAGATAACATCACCAGGAAAGAAATCCTTTGTAACAAAGAGCCCACGACGAGCATGTTCATCAGAAGAACCTTGACTCGCCTCTTTTATCCTAACATTCATTTCTCTCGGTGGAAAATTTTCAAAGTATTCTGCTTGTTTTTTCTTCACCTATAAATTTGGTTAGACCTTTACCATTTTTTCCAACGTCGAATATGTTGCGCGATATTCCAAAGTAATATATATGTACCTCAAGACTCATCATTTCATAAACAAAATTAAATACTGTCTCGGGGACCGTCTTTTGGTATATCATAATTAATTCAACGGGATTTGGATATACCTTCAACGCTTTGTAAAAACAAAGGGCAGCATCAAGGTAACCGTCTTCACCTAATGTTGCAAGAGAATTCAGTTTGTTTTTTTAATGATGACTGGAAACAAATTTCTATAATATATTTACCGTTGCCAAACAAACTTTCGCCCTTAGCTACTTGTTCCATAAAGTATTTTTCTCTGGTAGTAACGTCAGCAGGAAAAGTCTCCTTTGCGACTTCTTCGACTGCTTTTCTCAAAAAATCGGCCGCTTTCACTTTAGCATCTTCTACTGCAGCCTTCTTGCGCTTTGCTGCTCGCTTTTTATTTTTTTCTATTGATTTCATAAATTGTTAGTTAAGACTATTAGCTAATATGTAAAATAGATATTTAATACTTACTCAAATTCTTTCTAAATTCGGGGTCGTTTCGTCGCATATAATCCCAATACACGGCATAACTAACTCCAATCACACCAAGAGCACATACTCCAATAAAGATTGACTTCTTCAATTCCATGACTCGACACACTTGAAGAATGTGTAATAAGTGTGAAGAAAGAAACTTGAATAACAATCAGATTTATTAGATCAACTATGTATATATAGAATAAACCTTGTCACGTGATAAATTAAAAAAAAAAAACTGGATAGAAAAAAAAAATGCATAAAAATATGGCACAAAGAAAAAAAAAATCATTTTTCCCTTATTGCGACCACTGATGAGATAAGATGATGATCGACCAAACCAATTATATAAATCGCATTAGATTCTTGGTTTGTTCGTGTTTTAAGAGATTTGCATGTACACAAAGAAAAAAAAAGTCTTTATGGTTAGTAGGCTGGGATTTAACATTTCTCATGAGTAGATGCTGCAATGATATGCGATGCTAGTGTAATTTCCCGACTCCTGTAATCTGACAGAAATTAATCAGCGAATAAAATTTTTTTCGGCGACAGATCTGATTTTTTTAAATGTTTATGAAGATTCGAATATTAACAAATTTGTTTTATAGAATTCTGAAATCAACGTTTAATATCCATTATGCATAATCCGAAATTAAAATCACATAGCTCGCACGAGGTTCGAAAAATTATTAATGGATTATATGACCTATGATGTATGGTTTTATAATTGCATATTGACGTGCTAATTATTTTTATAATCGGCACTCGATTGGTTAGAAGAGAGATATGTTTTTTTGCAATAACCCCGGCTAGTAGTGTGCGATGAAATAATTTTTTTTTTATTGAAGGTTTATGCTACTTAAAAAATATGTGGAGTTTACTAAGTTAGTTTGAACTAAACAAAATTAAGTCTAAATTAGATTTAGAGAATAATATTGTATTTTTTTAATAGTTTAGTACTTGACCTCTAACTATTAGAATATTTTTAACAGTTTATTGTTATCAATTATTTCAAAAAAACAATAAATTGTTGAAATAACATTAGAAAAAAGAAGAAAAGGAAAGAATTCACGATTCTTTCAAAAGATTTTCAATTTATTTAATAAACTTTTCTTTAAAAAATTTTATCTGATTGAAATATCTTTTAATTTTGTACTATTTGAAAAACTTAATCATTTTAAAATAGTAAGACTTTAAAAAAAACATTTAAGAAACTTATTTCTCTATTAATATATGAACACACTTAATACAATCATTGATATTGGTATTATATTATAGATAAGTTTTCTTGACTAGAATAAAAAAACTTTTTTAAAAATTTTATCTAAATAAAATAAAAGCTTAAAGATTTTATTTTTTAGTCACTAAAGTATTTTCACTATTTAAAAAATATAATAAAAGATAAAAGTTGACTAATTTATATTATTCATTACTTGTTTTTTGATATTATAATTGTTTTTTTGAAGAATTTATTTAGTTAAAAAAGTATATCTTTGAAAAAAATTTATTATTACTAATACTATTATTAAAATATATGAATATAATTGAGAGTAACTTGTTCATTTATTTATTTTTTTTTTTTTTAATCCACAATTAGGTTAATATGGCTTGTCTTTATTGTATATACAAAAATATTTTCAAGATGTTTTTGACTTTCACATATCAACTCACCTGTTATCAAAAAACTATTTCTTTAGATGCAACTTAGGAAAGGATATTTTGCTTCTTTATTGACTTGGATAAATTCTCTAATCAATAAAATTATTGTTTACAGGATATTATTATAAATCATTTTAAATTTGACTGCAATTAAAAATCAAACTATTTTCTTCTATAACAAATTCAATTCTTGATGATTTTCATATATTTCATTTCCTCCTTTCTTTCAAAATATCTTGTTCTGGATCTTCTAAGAATATAGGTTCTTGCTATTCTTGTATAATCTGCATATTGGATCTATGCATTAGAGAAGTAGTTACACTTTTTTCACTAATTCTCTGATCACACACAAAAAAGATATTTGCAAGAAGTTTTAATACTTCTATACTAATAAAGTCTTACTACTTTCTTTAAACCAATCCAAAAAGTTCTCTTAGAACTCCCTCACCATTCTTTCCCTCTTATATATAATCTCCTTTGAACAAACTGAACTCTTGTGGCTTGCAAAGTTCAGCTTCCACCTTTATTAACTATGGTAAAAAAGTTCCTAAAGGGAAAAGAACCAACAGTGAAGTACTTTCCAGCTCTTAATTATGGTGGAGATAACAGAGGTTAAAACCAGTCAAAGGACTCAATTTTTCACCCTTTGACTGGTGTTATGACCTCTCAGAACTATCTTTTTCATGGCTTTCAGGAGAATTTTACCTATCCCAGCTTGACCCTGAAATTTTGGGTAGCACGGATCTCACCAACTCTGATTGGTTGACGCGAAACGCGTTGAACAAGCTTGATAAACAAGCTCCTATTGGCCATCTTACGTGTCTGAATGCATTTCCTCAGTTCCATAAGAACCTGAAGTCCATCATAAGTTGTTTTGTCTGGCGCGGGTAGATACAGAACATGGTACCGACATATCATTGGATATAAGAAAGAGTCTGTTCGATTATGGTAAAGGTCACAAGATGCTCGATTGATATTTTTTTAAGTCAGAGCCGCCTATATCCTGATCGTATTATTGTGAGCTATCCCAGTGAGTCCGTCACTAATCTGTAATACCTCGCATAACCCAGACTTCTCAAGAATACTTACAAATGACACAAAGAAGAGAATGTCTCCTATAAAGAACACTTAGGAAAGGCAGAGGTATGATGATTGACTTGACCAAAGGTAAGTGTCTCTTTATTGCATTCTGTTTCTTTGGTATATCACTAACTCTTATATCTATTCTCAATGAGAGCTGTTTTTCCTAACACATTCAGCTCTATCTTTTCAATATACATTGGTAAGCTATTTATACTTTTCTATCTAACAATAGCTATCTACTTTATAATCGATTATACTAACCCTAAGCTTTGCTAAACTTTCTATACTTTTCAATTATACACAGTTCCC